ACGATTGATGGGAACTTTCCATCTTTCCAGACGATAGTGTTATATTGCGCTGTAAGAAGGCATGGAGCTCGCAGCCCATGACGATGGCGAGTGTGACTAGCAAGACTACGTCTTCCACAGTTTTAGCATGGGATTTCAGGACCTTTGTTGTCAACATTTGTATTAAGGCTGTTTCTTCACAGACGCTCAGTTCTTATCCTTTCTGCAGTTATTTCTTGCCTTCATTCTCATTCCATTCCTGATGTGCTCCCCTCCACACAACACAGCCTATGGCATTTTGTTTCCACAAGTCCATCTCAGTACATGTATCATTCATGTCCCTATTGCACACATCTTCATATCGTAGCAGAGGTTGGCCTTGACATCTTCTACCCGTCTTTAATTCACAAGAGAGGGTGTCCTTAGGGACTCTGCCATCCTCCATGTTTAACCCGGTCACTAGAGCCTTCATAGACTGAGCATTGAGAAGACTGTTGTAATGCCTGGTGTTTTCAATACCTCAGTGTTTGTGATTTTGTCCTGTCACCTAATGTCAAGCATTCTTCTTAGGCATCTAATGTGAAAGCTATTCAGCCGCTTCCCATTAGAAGATGCTTTTACCGCCAGGTCACGTAATCATTTTATTAGCCTAAGACACCTGTCATTAGTTAACCAACCTAGTTTGTACAGCACTGGTGATCTTAGCTCTGTCCACGTATCCTCCTGCATGCAGTGGTGCGTTCATTACTTGTCAGTTGGTCCACTCATTCAGTTTCTTTTTGTGGAAAAATAAAAATTACCTTAGCTCTCAGGTTGATGTAATCTATAATGAGTACACAGAAATATTCCAAGAAGTAAAGGTGGCCAGCTTGATATTGACTACCCATTGAGTACCAACATAAAAATTTTTAAAAAATCTAAGTTGTGGTGTAGTGGCTAGATGCTCATAAGTTCAAATCTGAATGGAGCTGGACTTTTTTTTTCCTCCATTTTTTTCATTTTTTTTTTCAAAAATGATATTTTTGCCAGGTTGACCCAGCCTTAAATGGCTACCAGGTAAAATCCTGGGAAGTAAAGACACCCGGCATGATGCTGACCACATCGCCCACCAATATTCGGATTGGTCTACAGAATACAGGTCTAGCGCCCTGTGCCCAGTATGCCTAAAGGCATGGAAAAGGGTCCTTTACCCTCGTCGGAGGCTGTATAAGCAGAAGTAAAATTATAATTTTGCCAGATGTAAAAAGTTAAAAATATATGACCCCGTGTTTTGGATCGAAAAATTAATAATTAATAATGCACCGGAGGAGTTAGTTGTGTATCCTTTACAGGACGTTGCAGAACCAACCCTGGCATTTTTTGTATGGCTGTTGTGGTTTTTCTAGGCGAATTTTTACGTTCAGTAGTTTGCCATTGCTTCCTAAATGGTCAGCTCTCGGTACCACTGTCAAAACCAACGAAAATAAATAGATATGCGACATACCCGCAGCTGGGATCGAATCCGGCATCCCAGCATTACAAAGTGCGTTGGGAGCACCCAGGATATAGAGGCCAGTGCACCGGAAGAGACAACAGAAAAATATAGTTTCTTTGAGTGGAGTTGGAGAGATTTATGAAGATCCTTTTCTGTTTAACAAAATTGTTTAAAGGGTCATTTTTAAAACTACTGGCCTAGAAAAACAATGATTACCCCCCCCCCCCCCCCCCCCCCCCACCTCCAGAAATGCTGGGGTTGGTACTGCAATATCCTGTAAAGTTGTTTTAAACTTTTTATAGTCACCTCTTATAACTTGCACGGTAGGTTGCAGTGTTACTTGCAGTCTGATAAATCTGTCTGTATTACTTGGCTGCCTACATCCATTAATTACCCTTGTCGCTCTGAGAAATTGCAAAACCGACTCTTCCAGTGGGGCTAATTCCCCATAAATGTCTTTTTTTCGACTTGCCCTGGTGGTAAAATTATTCTTCCTTTGTCCTCTCACTGATACGAGGTTGTAGCCTAGGACCAGATTACAAGACGTATAGTTAATGCTGTTGGCTGTGCTCACGCCTATGCAAACGTTTATGAGTCGTGATGTAAATAAATTAACTTTAAAATAGTGAGAGTTTTCCTTTAAATCATATGTTTTTAAAGTCAGGAAGATATCAAATTTTCTAGTAAGTCTCACTGATGAAGGTCAGGGGGGTCACTTTATGAGTCACCCGATAGATATATTGGTTCTTTTACATTACATAATTTTTTTTTTTTGGAGACAGAAACAAAAAATTAAAATGTATATAGATAAAATTTAAAAAATAATTGATTAATGCCTGTGTGAAATTGTTTTTATTAAGGATATATTTAGAAAAATCCCACGGGGTCATTACCTATTTTATTGTAAAAGGTTTAAGGAATAAACTTCAGTTTTTACATTAATCAGTGATAGTTTACACTAACAATAAGTATATGGATGCTGCTTCTTGACAGCATGTAAATGGAATACCTTACTTTTGTATGATTGTTTTTACTTTGCTACTGATATAATTATTTTTACAAAAGCAAAATATTTTTTACTCCCTTATGCAATTAAACATGTTTTCAGATTCTCTCCGCTTACCTCAAGTACATGGTTACTTTATTTCAACTTCTTGGAGCTCCAAATGAGACATTTACTAGAGAGCAGATGATTAAAGTGATAGAGTTTGAAACAGAACTTGCCAATGTAAGTAAAGTGTGACAGTTTAACTAGAGAGTAGATGATTAAAGTGATAGAGTTTAAAAATGAACTTGCCAATGTAAGTAAAGTGTGACAGTTTAACTAGAGAGCAGATGATTAAAGTGATAGAGTTTGAAACAGAACTTGCCAGTGTAAGTGAAGTGTGACAGTTTAACTAGAGAGTAGATGATTAAAGTGATAGAGTTTGAAACAGAACTTGCCAGTGTAAGTAAAGTGTGACAGTTTAACTAGAGAGCAGATGATTAAAGTGATAGAGTTTGAAACAGAACTTGCCAGTGTAAGTAAAGTGTGACAGTTTAACAAGAGAGCAGATGATTGAAATGATAACGAATAACAAATTTCAGGAGAGAACAAAAAACAGACTGAAGCGTCAGAGCCCCAACCACCTTGCTAGAGAACTGTACAGACAGCACCAAGATCTGCTTGAAAGAGATGTAGCATTGTGCGAAAAACTTAGGCCTGAATCATGGACAAGCAAGCCAGAGAAGGCAAATGTAGTCCTAAAGGTACCAGGGATCACTTCAAAAGAGCCCAGACGGAGACACAACAGAGAACCCTGGCTCTTGCTATGCTTGATGAGAAATATCCAAACACCACTTGGACTCAGGTTTTCACCGACGGCTCTGCTACAGAAGCAGTCAGAAAGGGGAGTTGTGGAATATACATTAAACTCCATAGCAGTAGAGCAGAAACTCTCTCTCTACCAGCAGGTGACATCTGCACTAACTTCAGAGCTGAGGCAATTGCCCTCCTTTCTGCAGGCCAACATCTCATCAATCAAGAACACAGAGGGCACAAAATTGTTATACTTAGTGACTCATTGTCTGTTCACCAAGCACTATCAAGCAAAAAACAAGACAAACTAATTGCAGATCTAAGGACCAACATTGGCTTACTCTCCAAGGAAGCAGAACTGGTCTTACAGTAGATACCAGCCCACTGTGGTATTCAAGGAAATGAGAGAGCAGATGAGTTGGCAAAAGCTGGGAGTAATCTTCCACAACCTCATCCACCACACAGCTACAAGAAAACCAAAACAGCACTAAAGCAGTCTTTCAAGCGGGAGTGGAGAAGGCAGAATGGAGATTACAGACCAGAGAGTGACAGCATAAACAAACCCAACAGGAAAGAACAAACAACAATTTTTAGACTTCGGACTGGACACTGTGGTCTTCGAGCACACCTGTACAGGATAGGCATAAAAGAATCTGCTGCCTGTGATTGTGGAGCAAGAAGACAGACCCCTGAGCACATACTACAGCACTGTCCTAACCTCTCCCAGCAAAGACTGTGGATCTGGCCCAAGGCAGCCACATTGAAAGAGAAGCTATGGAAGACCGGTGGCGACCTTAAACGCATAATCCTATTTGTGACCCAGACGGGACTTAATGTTTAGCATGACTGATGTCGAACCCAGAAGAAGAAGAAGAAGATAACGAGTTTAAAACAGATATTGCCAGTATATGTAAAGTTTAACAATTTAACAAGAGAGCAGATGATTAAAGTGATAACGAGTTTGAAACATATATTGCCAGTGTATGTAAAGTTAAACAGTTTAACAAGTCTATTTTTTCAACTCATCATCATCATGTGCCCTGCCATAGGATTGAGGCCAGAGCTTTCCAAACTGTTCATGTTGGTGATATGTTGTGTGTGTGTGTGTGTGTGTGTGTGTGTGTGTGTGTGTGTGCGCGTGCGTGCGTGCGTGCGTGTGGTGGTGGAGCAGCTGGCCAAATGGTTAATAATGCAGGTCTCTCCTGTAGGAGACCCAGGTTTCAATTCTTGGTAAGGTTGTTGATTTTTTCTCTGTCAGGGGCAACATTTGAATCCTCACTTGCACAGTCCATGGGCCATGCGGCTCTAAATCCAGGTGCTGAGTATTTTTTCATTGATGTTTGAATAGTCAGCACTCAATACCGCTGTTGAAACCAATGCATAGTGCTGTTGCAATGTCAAAGCCAGAGATGCCGACATAAAGATCCCCCCCCCCCCACCCCCGCCCACCCCCTCCAACACACACACCCTTAACCCCTGTTATAGGGAAACTCCCTATATTAGGGAACCCTCACCCCTCATACAGCAATTCCTATAATTCTGTTGCTTCTTCTGCATTTTCTCTTAAACAGGTGGAGGTACTTTATGTTGGGTTCTAGACTTCAGCTATGATATCTGCACCTTTTGGCTCAAAACATCCAGTTTCAACAAACCCTAACCTAATTGCCCTGTGTGCCTTTGTGCCATGCTTGTTAAGGGGGGATGGGTCTGTTATTTCCCTCTAAATGGAACCAAAATTGAGACTCATAGTGTTCTAGCATCTCTAGTTTAATCTTGTTCATCTTTTTTGCAGCTTTTGGCTACACTAGTTATCCATCTCTTACTTGGTCTTCCCCTTGCATTCCTCCCAGATATTCTGCTGTAAAAAAAAATCTCATATGAAGTTTGGTCTCGCAGCATTCTCACTAGATAGCCAGATCAGTCAATTCTATGTTTGTAAATATAATTAAGACCTGGTCTCATTTCAGCTTTCTCTCTAATACTGGTAGTCATTACCCAGAGTTCCTTATTGTTGTGTTAGTTATCTGGAGTTTAACTCTTTGAGTCCCAGAAGGTTTAGCATCACAGGCCCAAGGGGTAGTCAAAAGAGACGTAAAATCGGCGCATTATGCGTTCATTGGGCTTCTATGCAGTAACCTATGAACGCATGATGCGTTCGTTGGGATTCAAAGAGTTAATAACGTGTTGAAACATTGTTATATCTGTGCCATAGATTACAACTCCCATGGAGGACAGGCGTGATGAGAGTAAACTGTACCACAGCTACACTCTGGCAAACATCTCTAGATCTTTCCCACAGGTAGGTATCCTATCTCTTTTTAATACTGTGTGTGTGTGCTTTGTACTGAATTTGGCTGTGGTGGTGCCATTTTGTAGTGACCTGTGATGATAAAGCTTTATATGTGTAACATCCAGAAGTTATGAAATATGTGTCACCCAAATATAACAATGGAGCTGCCATGGTGTGGCAGCTAGATGCTCACATGCAGATCCAAAGGTCATGGGTTCAGCTCCTGGCAGAACCAGATTTATTTTATAAAAAAAGATCTTGGCTCCCAGGTCGACCCAACCTTAAATGGGTACCAGGTAAAGTCCTGGGAGATGAAGGCGGCCTGTGTGATGTTGACCACATCACACACTGAAGCCTAGATTGAAATCTTTGGTAAGATCATGGATTTTGTGTGTGTATGTGTGTTTGGTCAGCTGCAAAAATAAAATTCTAACTGGCATAATCCCTGGCAACAACACTAGCGAAAGGGGTAAACACACTTAGCAAATGGCATTTATTTTTCCGCAGAATCTAGTAGACCAGGTCACATTGAAAAAAAAAAAATTATTTTTGAGGGAATTCAGTACGTGACCACCAGGTCAGCAGGCAAAAATGTTTACTTGTGCATCCTACTATGTGTTCAAAATAAAGAATTTGTATTCTTGGGTTAACTGCTGTGATAGATATATTTACAAGTAAAGATTGGCAGTCATATTAAGATTGCATACTGGACACAATAGAATCTGCGGTCATATGTACAAGAAATTCAAGACTGGGGATTTAGAGCTGTATCCAGTGTGGACAGGCACTACAAAATACTGAACATGTGCAAAAGAAATGATCTCCGTATGTGCTATAGACATACTCTCTGTATGTGCTATTGACATACTCTCTGTATGTGCTGTAGATATACTCTCTGTATGTGCTGTAAATATACTCTCTGTATATGCTATAGACATACTCTCTGTATGTGCTTTAAATATACTCTCTGTATGTGCTGTAATCATACTCTCTGTATGTGCTATAGACATACTCTCTGTATGTGCTATAGACCTACTCTCTGTATGTGCTGTAATCATACTCTCTGTATGTGCTATAGACATACTCTCTGTATTTGCTGTAGACCTACTCTCCGTATGTGCTATAGACATACTCTCTGTATGTGCTATAGATATACTCTCTGTATTTGCTATAGACATACTCTGTATTTGCTATAGACATACTCTCTGTATGTGCTATGGACATACTCTCTGTATGTGCTATAGATATACTCTCTGTATGTGCTGTAAATATACTCTCTGTATGTGCTGTAAATATACTCTCTGTATGTGCTGTATATATACTCTCTGTATTTGCTATAGACATACTCTCTGTATGTGCTGTAAACATACTCTCTGTATGGGCTATAGACATACTCTCTTTATGTGCTATAGACATACTCTCTGAATGTGCTGTAAATATACTCTCTGTATGTGCTATAGACATACTCTCTGTATGCTTCAAAGAGATCCAAGGCGTGGCCAGCTGGCATTCCAGTGGAGACCAAGCTGTATGGAACAGTAGAAGACATGTGTGCCACACACTGCAGACTTCATAGAGGCCTTTGGCCGTCTCATCTGAAAACCACTGGCAGGGAGAATAAAAAGAAGAATAAGGAGAAAAAGATAAGGAAGAAGAAGGAGGAGGAGGAGGAGGAAAAGAAGAAGAAGAAGATGAAAAAGAAGAAGAAAAAGAAGAAGAAGATGAGGAAGAAGAAGGAGGAGAAGAAAAAAGAAGAAGCACTCATAGAAAAGCAGAGGAAGATAGTAGAAATATGAAGACACATTACACATCAAATATTAGCTGTATTTTACCAAGATTCAGACCTGACAACTTCAGATGATGACACCTCCTTTTGCAGGAATAAGTCTAATTAGACACACAACCAGCAGTGAGTGAAAATCTTCTACTTAATGCCTTATAGAACATATAGAGAATCCATGCATTGAAAGACCAATTCAGCGAGGGATGTTTAAAAGTTCTGGACGATATGGAGCTTTTAGGGGGAAACAGAGGCACACTTTTAATCATGTTGCAACTGTTACTATTAGCATGTCGACCCTTGGTCAGCTACTGAAGAAGGGGAGGGAGCACATGTGGGAATTTCCTGAGTGCAATGCAGTGATGTCAGTTCTTCATTCATTCTTATAATCTGTGCTCTGTGGCATTGGTAGTCATGTCTGTCGACAACCTTCAGTGCCATGTTATTTCAGTTAGTTCTGACACAGATGATCTTCCATGCCATGATGTCAAACTGCTTAGCATCTTCTTTCCTGATATTCATAACATGCATATAATTGTGTGAATATAACGTGCTTTATTTATAAACTACACCTGCTGTGTGAAAGTTGGGTGTTCAGAAGGGCCGAATATAAGATGGGCCTGTGTGCCTAGTTTGTGACCCTTTGAAAATAAAGTTTGTTCGTTTGTTCTCCTGATCTCCTTTTGCCCTTTTACCCTCTAATTTTCCAACCATCATGATGTACTCCAGTTTTTCCTCCTTCTAATGACATGACTAAAGAATGTAGATTTTCTCTTTCCGGTGTGGGCAGTTATTTCTCTTCATGACATGACCAGAGAATGTAGATTGTCTCTCTCTGATGTGGCAGTAATTTCTCTTCATGAACTGACCAGAGAATGTAGATTGTCTCTCTCTGGTGTGGACAGTCATTTCTTTTCATGACATGACCAGAGAATGTAGATTGTCTCTCTCTGGTGTGGGCAGTCATTTCTCTTCATGACATGACCAGAGAATGTAGATTGTCTCTCTCTGGTGTGGGCAATCATTTCTTTTCATGACATGACTAGAGAATGTAGATGGTCTTTTCTGATGTGGGCAGTCATTTCTCTTCACGACATGACCAGAGAATGTAGATAGTCTCTCTCTGATATGGCAGTCATTTCTCTTCATGACATGACCAGAGAATGTAGATTGTCTTTCTTTGGTGTGGGCAGTCATTTATCTTCATGACATGACCAGAGAATGTAGATTGTCTCTCTCTGATGTGGGCAGTCATTTCTCTTCATGACATGACTAGAGAATGTAGATTGTCTCTCTCTGGTGTGGGCAGTCATTTTTCTGCAAGACATGACCAAAGAATTTAGATTCTCTGTCTGATTTGGGCAGTTATTTCTCTTCATGACATGACCAGAGAATGTAGATTGTCTCTCTTTGGTGTGGGCAGTCATTTCTCTTCATGACATGACCAGAGAATGTAGATTGTCTCTCTGGTGTGGGCAGTCATTTCTCTTCATGACATGACCAGAGAATGTATATTGTCTCTCTCTGATATGGCAGTCATTTCTCTTCATGACATGACCAGAGAATGTAGATTGTCTCTCTTTGGTGTGGGCAGTCATTTCTCTTCATGACATGACCAGAGAATGTAGATTGTCTCTCTGGTGTGGGCAGTCATTTCTCTTCATGACATGACCAGAGAATGTAGATTGTCTCTCTTTGGTGTGGGCAGTCATTTCTCTTCACGACATGACCAGAGAATGTAGATTGTCTCTCTGGTGTGGGCAGTCATTTCTCTTCACGACATGACCAGAGAATGTAGATTGTCTCTCTGGTGTGGGCAGTCATTTCTCTTCATGACATGATCAGAGAATGTAGATTGTCTCTCTCTGGTGTAGGCAGTCATTTCTCTTCATGACATGACCAGAGAATGTAGATTCTCTCTCTCTGGTGTGGGCAGTCATTTCTCTTCATGACATGACCAGAGAATGTAGATTGTCTCTCTTTGGTGTGGGCAGTCATTTCTTTTCATGACATGATCAGAGAATGTTGATTGTCTCTCTCTGGTGTAGGCAGTCATTTCTCTACATGAGTCAGTTTCTGCCTATCAGTTTCAGTAGCTTCAGGTGTTGCCGAACAGTAAACTAATTATAGTGTTCAGTGCTTTATTAATATCCTACCCCAGATGATGTCACAGGATAGTCCAACATTTTAGAGGGTGGTAAGTTTGGATCTTCTAGCTTTCTGGTGCTTTTAATTAACCCAAAACATCTAGAACTGGCCCTAACCCCAACCCACCTACGTCTGACGAGAGAGTGCAGCCAAAATCCTATGACTGCATGCAGCCCATCTACCACCCCTTCAAATATTACACTGTTCCGTGACCTGTGTATTTCTCCTGTCTGGGGTAGGATATTATTAAAGCACCTAGGGTTCTGTTCCTTTGCAGATCAACTGGATCCACTTTGTGAACCGCTTGCTGAATGTAGTTAATCTCAGAATGTTACCTACAGAAAGGATTGTAGTGTATGCTCCTGAGTTTCTGGACAAGCTGAACACTATACTGGCCAGCTATGTTTCCACCGAAGAAGGAAAACAGTGAGTTGTTTATTCTCTTTAATTTGGCAAACATCTTATCATGGGAAGATAAAGATAAGGGTAAATGATTCACAGATCCTCTTGAGAAAGGTAGAGACAGGTATGTTCCACGCATATTGGCTCACATCGCTTCAGAGATCCTGGGTAGTTAGCTTCCTTTGGAAATTTTCTCCAGGGCAGTTGTGTTGGGAAACAAGCAGACAGATAAACTGGCTGGTTTTGCACCTCTTGGTTGTAGACTGATGCATGACAAGGTAGATATTGTAAGGGCCCTTTAGGAGTGAGTGATTGGTGCAGAAGCACAACTGGATCATCACCGTCTGAGGAGAATTGTACGGCCAGGAGTGACCAGGGGATAAGGCTGACACATAACACTCAGGGGAAGTGTGAAATGGCCATACAATCAGATTGTTACTGATACCACTGGATTTGGAACTCTCTCTTTGATGCTAAAGATGGAGTCAGAGCACTTATGGTAATGTCCTGGGTACTGTGGTGTTGGTTCTTACCTCATTTTAAACTCAACTTGATAAACATTTGTCCTACCACATATAAGGCTTTCAAGGGTTAGACTTTCAAATGCTGTTGGCACCTTTCTTTCAGCAGTGTAATATTGTGCTATAAGCATGAGAATTACATCCTATGGCAATGGCAAGTGTGACTAGCAAGATCTGCTCTCGCTAAGAAAAGCCTTCCACAGTTCATGGACAGTTGTTATTATCTCCTGTATTTAACATCACTCTTCTCAGACACTGAGCTAATAACCTATCTATGTTAACTGTCTGCATTCATCTTCTCCTTTATGGCAATGGGGGGAGTTAACATGGGATCTGGCTGACGATTGACACTCAAGTGAAAGGAGAGAGACTGATACTGGTACCATTGGAATTGAAACTCTTCCCTTGCTGCTGAAGATGGGGTCAAAGTGCTTATGGGGGGTGTCCCGAATGCCATGACAATTCTTAATTTAACATTCAACATTCTTTGTTCCTATTCTTTTCCTGCGTTTGCCCTGAATGCAACATCCTGTTGCTATGAATCCACCTCAGTACCTGTATCATTCATTTCCCACTTGCACGCATCTTTATACTGTAGCAGAAATGCCTTCAGCATCTTCCACTCTTCTATGATTCACCATGGAGAATTTCTATGTTCATATAGAAAAACATATGGAGAAGGGAGCTAGAGAGTGTTGTTAAAAAGATGGGAAGAACATGAGATGAGCTGCATGCGAAATCGAAGGATAGAATGATTTGTTGGCGTGTGTTGGTTGAGAGCCTGTGCTATACACCTCATAAATGTATGAGGCAGTAGTGAAAGAGTTGAGGGAAACGTCCCTCCTCAGATAATTCTTTCTATGATGCTGAGTTGCAGAGGAAAAAATAATCATGCATGAACTGAAGATCAAAACCAGATCCCTTAGCTTGGTAGTCTTCTGTATGGGTCTTATTGAGGTAGATTTGTGAGATTGACCTGCTCTACCAGGTTGATCCAATCTATACCTGGGTACCAGGAGATGCTCTGGGATGTAATGGTGGCCAGTTGTGGAGTATAGAGGAAGGTGATGACTGAAGTAAAGATTAGAAGGACACAGATGATATTAGAACAAATGGAAAGTCTTCATGGGTGTACCAGAATGTGAACTGTGTGCCCTTCATTCACTGCATGGCGTCACTTAACTCTTTGAGTCTCAAGGAACGCATCATACTTTCATAGGTTCCCACCTAGAGGCCCAATGAACGCAAGATGCTCAGATTTTACATCTCTTTTGACTACCCCTCGGGCCTGTGATGCTAAACTCCCTGAGACTCAAAGAGTTAAGAAGGAAGAAGTACACTTTGATGCCAGACCTGCTAGTTACCCTCAACCTTGTCACCCTGAGAAAGCCATTTTTCTGACTTTTATGGGTTTTTGTTACATCATGCCTTTAGTCGGTGGCACTTATAGGCACGTGCGACAGCTTTGGTACTGGTTGAAAATGCATAGTGTGTAGACTGGTTGCAACTAATTTAGAAAAAAAAACATATTATTGTTTAGAGGGGGGGGGGGGGGGGGGGGGGGGGGGGGGGGGGGGGGGGGGGGGGGAAAAAATTGATTGTATTGTATTGTAATTTTGATTACCTCTCTCTCTCTCCCCCTCCCACTCTCTTTCGTTCTACCTCTATTGTTGATTTTGTTTTCAGAATCCTTACAAGCTATCTGTTATGGGATGTTGTGAGTGACTTTGCAGGTTTTCTGTCCAAGCCATTTAGAGATGCTAAAAAGGAATTTATGGAGTCAATGTCAGGTTAGTATTACACGTCTAGTCGTGTTATTGAAATGAGAAAGAGTTCTTGAGAGCTTTTAAGGGCCAGTCTTGATGCATGGACAATCAGCATTTTACTGAGAATTGGGTTTTTAGGCCAGACTTGATGCATGCTCAATCAGCAGTTTTACTGAGAATTGGGTTTTTAGGCCAGACTTGATGCATGGACAATCAGCAGTTTTACTGAGAATTGGGTTTTTAGGCCAGACTTGATGCATGCTCAATTAGCAGTTTTACTGAGAATTGGGTTTTTAGGCCAGACTTGATGCATGCTCAATCAGCATTTTACTGAGAATTGGGTTTTTAGGCCAGACTTGATGCATGGACAATCAGCATTTTACTGAGAATTGGGTTTTTAGGCCAGACTTGATACATGGACAATCAGCATTTTACTGACAATTGGGTTTTAGGCCAGACTTGATGCTTGGACAATCAGCATTTTACTGAGAATTGGGTTTTTAGGCCAGACTTGATGCATGGACAGTCAGCATTTTACTGAGAATTCGGTTTTTAGGCCAGACTTGATGCATGCACAATCAGCATTTTACTGACAATTGGGTTTTTAGGCCAGACTTGATGCATAGACAATCAGCATTTTACTGAGAATTGGGTTTTTAGGCCAGACTTGATGCATGGACAATCAGCATTTTACTGAGAATTGGGTTTTTAGTCGTGTTCTTTTTGCTCCGGCGCATTTATCTTTCCGCATTCGGTGACCCAGTGGAATTCTAGGTTTTGTTTAGTTTAGTCGACTGATCAACATCGTGGCACATCTTGTAAACCCAAAAGTGCTCCATTCTACTTCTAACTTAAGCCCGAGTTTGAAGAATCTCAGCGCAGTGCACAAACTCAGGGAACCTAAAATACTTTTGAGTTGATTTTTTACTCAAATTTTGCCCATGCAGCACCGTTAGGCTACTCTTTTCTGATTTCCAGCTGCCAGTGTATTTTTTTTTAACCCGTGCAACACTTCACACGGGCGTCCGATCTTTCTATCCTGAGACCAGGGGAAATTACTAAAAGTCCACGTGAAAAAATCCTAGCCTTCACCAGGGTTTTTCTCCCTGAGACCACCAGCACTCAAAGTGGATGCCATCATACCTCGAGACCAGGGTTGTTTGATTTGTGTACGAGACAAACTCTGTTCCGCCATGATGAAAAAACCGTGCACGCTGAAAGAAAAACTCCAGGATGGTTTCACACAGATGCACGAACTCCGTAGCACCAGCCAAAATCTTGAGAAAAAAAAAACCTCCTGAATTAAGTACTTAATAAAGCAGTTTACATCAAGCACATTGAGAAAATTCAAAATAAATAGCTAATCGCGGGGTTGCATTTGATCTGGCTAAGTGCCCTAAGTATTAATATTGTGTGTGTGCCCAGTGACTGACTACTTCCATCAGAGGCAAATTACAATTCTGGTGGTGAACTTTGGTGTTGGCACCTCTAGCAGCTGCCTTATGTATTTACTGCACATACATGTTTCTGGATTTTGTCCGGACTTATTGTTTGTTCACTAATTTCAAATGGGACAGTGAAGAGCAGTTTGAGATTTTTCACTATATCACATATGGAGCAGTTATAGAATGACCTGTTTGCAGTGAAGTTGAAACCTCAACTACCACCACCACTACTACTACTACCGCTACCACTACCACTGCTACTAATACTACTACCACCACCACCATCACAACAGCTATACCTATTACTGCTTACTACTACTAAGAAAAGATCCCTTTTGACGCCTTTAGGCCCATCGGCCATATGGGAAGAGAACCCAAATTTTTATAGACCAATCGACACTAGGTGGGTAATGTGGTTTAGCATTACATCGGCTGTCTTTACTTCCCAAGGACGTACATCCTGGTACCAGTTTTAGGCTGGGTCGACCTGCGACGCCCTATACCATGATAAGAATCCACGCAGCCAGCAGTGTGTCTAACTTACAACACCTAAGCCACTGTGCCGCACTTACTACTACTATCACCACTATTATTATTATTTCATAATCAATTTTTGGGGGGCATGTGTGACTTCCTCAGGTCTGACAGGCAGTGATGAAAAGTGGCACAACTGTATAACTGATACTGACGCTGTTGCAGGATTTGCCCTAGGGGCTCTGTTTGTGAAAGAGACATTTGTTGGTGGAAGCAAAGAAAAGGTAACCATAGATGGGCTGACTGTAGTGTTTTGCTCAGAATTTTAGCATTTTCTTTACTGGCAGTTCTGTCTTAATTCCTTCATTTATTTTTGTCTTTCCTAGCCTTTGTCTGTTCATTCATTATTCTTTCTCTTTTTCCTCTGTTCCTTCATTCGTTTAATTATTCCCCCTCTCCCCTAACTTTCATCTGTTCCTTCATTAATTCTTTTCTGTCCTTTATATGTTCCTTTATTCATTTATTCATTTTTATCTGCTGTCTGTCCCTCCATCGGTCTGTCTGTCTATTGGTGCGTCTGATAGGCTGTCTGTTTTTCTGTCTGTCTCTCTGCTCCCTCTTTCTTCTGCTCCTTCATTCGTCAGTTTCTCCTCCCTCTGTAATCTGTTGATTTCTCTCTCTCTCTGTCTGTCTCTCTCTCTCTCTCTCACACTTTCATATATTCCTTTATTCATTAATTTCTCTCCCCTTCTCAAGTTGTTCCTCTATTGATTTCTTCCCTCTTTCAGCTGTTCCTTCATTCATTCATTTCTATCCCCTTCGTCTTTGATTCCTACATTCATTTATATCCTCCTTCACCTGTTTCTTCTTTCATAATTTCTAACCCCCCCCCCCTCCACTTCCCCTCCCCTCCCAAACTATAATGACTAGACATTGATTTAGCTGTCTTATTTATTGATTTAATTGTATGATTTTCATGGGTGGACTCTCTTCAGGCTAAAGAGATGATAGACAATGTTCGGGAAGCTTTCATTTCCAACTTGCCAAATCTGGATTGGATGGACCCGGTGACACGAGCTGCTGCCATTGATAAGGTTAGTTGTTGTTTTAACTTTTGAACTCTTTCTGTAGCCTGTAGCGCACCATGTAGTTATTGATTAGACCAGCGCCTGTTGTATACTTGTTAATATTTGGTTTAATTTTACAGTTATAATTTACAGCAGGGCTATCCAAGTGACGGCCTGCAGGCTTTATCCAGCCTGCAGAAGCCCAGCAAATGGCCCGCAGGTCATTGGTAGTTGTATTGTGTTAATGATGTTTCTATGCTGGGTTTTGGGCTTGTCAACATCTTGGCCCCTGAGTAAACTTAGTTAAATAACAACATTCTGCAGGATGCTCTTATGATCTAGCAGCTTCTACAGTGTACTTTGTTCCAGACACCTTGATGTCACCTTTTTCTCTGGAGTTAAAAAAGCAGGCTGAGCAAGGGATCATGCTGCAGCAGTGTGATGATGACCTTGCTTTGCATGTTAGCTCACAATCACAAGCCAGGCAGACATGCGGCACAGAACACACAAGGCCAAAGAGATAGGCTAGGAAAGACCAGTAGTTGGCTCTTGGTCATATGTGAACTAGAAGTCGAGGAACACCTGACCTCTTCAGTACTGACAAGATTTTATGCTATGGAAAGGAGAAACTTCATCTGAGGCCTTAACTGGTATTGTCATGGATTGTAATTCCCATATTCCCCTGTTTCACAATTGAGCACTATTGTCTAAAAAGACGGAAAGGTGTCTGCAGCAGCTACAGAATGAGGTAGCCAGTATTACATCAACCCTTAATAGTCTTTACTTATGGCCAACATGGTTTCAGGTTTACTATTTTTATTTTCTGAATGGGGGAGTCACCGTGGTGTAGCGGCTAGACACTCGCCGCGGATCGAAAGGTCGTGGGTTCGCTCCCTGTCAGAGCCGGACTTTTGTCAAAAATGACTTTGGTGCTCAGGTCGACCAAGCCTTGGGTGGGTACCAGGTGCAGTCCTGGGAAGTAGAGGCGGCCAGCATGATGCTGACCACATCACCCATCTTGTGCCGATTGGTATATAAAATATAGATCTAGCGCTATATGCCCTATACGCCTAAAGGCGGGGAAAGGGGACCTTTACTTTTTTACTCAATTTTTTTATGGGCTTCAGTGACGCACGAGTGAGTGCTAAATAGCATATTGTGATTAGTGTCTTTTAATAAAATATATTTTCCTTTAATATTGTAATTTCTCTTTTAATATCAGCTATAACCTGGAAATAAAATATAATATGTCTTACATCTGCTGAAATCAAATGCTCTATCTCATAACACAAGTGTCACAGTAAGTAAAGTGCTAATAAGACCACTTGTTTTATATGGCTCTGAAACGTGGAGCAGAACTAAAAGAGAGGAAGCCTTATTAAAAATTTCTGAAAAGTCTTATGACAAATCTCTGGACCCATCAAAGATGTAAACAGCAGGAAATGGAGAAGATGCAGCAGCAATGAAATTTATAATCTGTTTAATTATTTTAGTCCCAGGGTCAGAGGCTAAGAAGTAGTCATGAGAGACGTAAAATTGGCACATCTTGCGTTTATTGGGCTTCTAGGTAGGAACCTATGAACGTATGATATGTTCCTTGGGACTCAAAGAGTAAAATCATTATTGATCTCTGGCACCATGAGGGCTAATATACTGAAATAGCTGGAGCATATCGAGAGATAAGCAGTTGACAGAGAGGCAAAAACTAATCACAAGGGAGCTGAATGGCCAAAGGCTATGAGGCAGACTAACAAGACCATGGAGAGAAAATGTCTAACCAATCTTACACACACTTGGAGTCACCTACTGAAAACTGGAAAGAGAACTCCAGGAACATAATTGAATAGAGGTGGGGCATATCTGCAGCAGAACTAACATTAAACTGAATGTTGAATTAAGAATCAACATCACGGCACTCGGGACACCCCCATAAGCGCTCCGTCCCCATCTCCAGCAGCAAGCGAAGAATTAAAATTCCGCTGCTACCAGTAACTGTCTGATTGTATATCCGTCTCGCCTTTCCCTTGAGTGTCAAGCATCGGCCAGATCCCCTTGTGACTCCTCGCAGTGCCATTCTCCTCAGACCGTAATGATCTATTAACTCGCTCCCAAAGTGCCCTCACAACATCCAGCTCGTCTTACATTAGTTCACCACCAAGTGGTGCAGAACTGGCTAGTCTATCTGCCTTAATAATAATAAACTTAAAATGTTTAAGTCATATGTCAAATCAGTACTGTTGTTTGGAGTGGAAACATGGAGAACGACTAAGACTAATAAACTACAAACATTCATTAACTTTTGCAGAAGAGATGGAATCAAGTGGTATGATAGAATCACAAATGTAGAGCTTTGGGAGAGAACTAAACAAGTTCCAGTGGACCAAGAGGTGAAGAAAAGACGCTGATGTTAGATAGGATACACGCTGAGAAAACCTGAGAATGAAATAACTAGAATGTCTTTGCACTGGAGCCCAGAGGGGCATAGAAATAAAGGCAGACCAAAAAACACTTGGAGAAGGCAAGGGAGCTAGAGAGTGAAGTCAAAAAGATGGGGAGGATGTGGGAAGAGCTGCATGTGATAGTTAAGGATAGAATGACTTACATGTGAGTTGGTTGAGGGCATATGCTCCATTGGGGGCTAGAAAGGCAGAAAAAGAACAGAATAAATCTGCAACAGTGAACCTTGAGGAATCAGAATGCTGAAGAAAAAGAAGTCTCATTAAGTTTTTGCCACTTTTTCGACTGGTTTCATCTACTTCATATTCCCTAACGTTTCTTATTTCAGTTACTGTGCACTTCTTCTTTTTGTTGTTGTTGAACAGCAGTCTCCCTGTGTGGGTTCTGGGGCTCTCATTTTTGGAGAAGAAAGAATAGGCCAACAGCCAGCTTCCCTCAACAAGCATGTCCTAGCAGCAATTAAAAAGGGGTATTTTCCTTTGAAGGTGGAGTGTATCTGCCTGAGTTGAGTCGAGTCAAGAATTGACATCACAGCACTCAGGGCATTCCTGTGCTTGCTCCGTCCTCATCTTCAGCAGCCAGCGCAGAGTTCTAATATTGATGGTCACAATCTGGTTATATGTCTATCTTGCCATTCCTCTGATTGTAGTGAGCCGGCCAGACTTCTGGTTATACCCAGGTGCCTCATTCTCTCCAGGCCATAATAGTCTTGTTTCTCTACTGATTCTGTTGCTTGTTCCTAAAGGGCCTTGTCATGTATCAATTTACCACCCAGTGGTGCAGATCCAGCCAATCTGTCTGCCTGTTCCGTCTGAGAGGCAAGAATCTAACATTCTGGCCCCTGGGTAACTTAGTTGAATAGCCTTGTCTTACATGATCAGAACATCAAGGAGAATTGGCTCATAAACAGCATCTGGTCCTGAAGGCTGAGCTGTTTTGGTCATTTTGAGCATCATGATGGCCTGGTGAGAACATTGATGGGGGTACACTTTGTCGAAACTGAGACAGAGGCTGACCTCAGCAAAGACATTGAAGATGCATTGGCTATGAAAGCACATAGGGCTGGAGATTTGGCTAGAGAAAAAGACTTTCAGGCTTGCCGTGAAGAGAGTGACTTTCTGTAAAGGACAAACTGATTGATGTTTTTGATGGTGATGATACAGGTGATGATTTTGATGATGATGATGATGATGATTAATATGTTGATGATGATGTTGATGATATTGATGATGATTTTGATGATTATGATGACGATTATGATGATGATGTTGATAATTATGTGTTCAGTAAACCCCAGGGTGTGAAAATGTGGCTTTTATTCTTGATTTGATTGTTGATTTGATTCTTGATTTGATTCTTGATTTGTTTAATATCAGGCAAACGCAGTCAAGGACATGATTGGCTACCCTAGTTTCATTCTCAACGACAGTCTGCTGGACATAAGATATGAGAAGGTAGGACTGTGTCTTGTGAGTTCCAGTGATACATGGTTGTATGTGTATAAAGCAGGGGGGAAGGGGGGGGGGGGGGGGGGCTGGAACCTTGGAGCTCAGACCCTTCAGCTGATACCATTCATAAGAACTGGCCACATATGGATTTGAACATTAGATGTTTGGACTGGCAGGCAGGTGTTTAGCCACTGTGTTGCTCCCAGCTGGTATTGGAACCATAAATAAGTTTCTTTAAAATTAAAATTAAAATTAAAAAAAAAAATACCATATACAGTATAGTGCACCATGGTCAAATTAAATGACTGAACCATTTCACTTGTTGTTTTCTAATTAAATCTGGCTCTGCTACTACCTTAACTTTTATTTGGGCCCCATAATTTTTGTTGTTGTTGTTGATCTTCTCACTTCTTGATGTGTTTAATGCTCTTCTTGGGAATCTGGGTTCAGTGACATTTACACATTTGTGTTGTTTCAAAAAATCAAAAGTGTTTAACCTGGACAGAGGAGACACAGACAGTAGACTGCATAATTTATTGTCTGGCATTTTTACTCTTATCTCATTGTTGAATTTAGAATCAACATCACAGCACTCAGAACACTCCTATAAGTGCTACGTCCCCATCTTCAGCAGCAAGCAAAGAGTTAAAATTCCGATGGTACCGGTAACTGTCTGATTGTATCACCATCTCGCCTCTCCACTGAGTGTCGAGCGTTGGCCAGATCCCCTTGCTCTGTCTCTTCGGGTGCATACTACAGAAAGAGTTGTAATGGTCATGAGCCTGCATTTTCTATGGGAAAATTGGCAGTTACCTTTGAGCTTGGTGGATTTTATATTACATTTGTAAAGGTGCCTTTTATGTTCTTCAATTTATTCAATTGCTAATGTACTATGCACCTGACCAGATACAGTGACGTACACCAAATATATCCTCCAAGACTGTCCCAAATACAACATATCAAGGCAAAACTTCAGGCCAAGAGAAACATCGGTGCAAGTCAAACTTTATGGGTCGCTGAGTGAATTACACAAGACAGTGAAGTTCATACTAGAGACAATTTTGCAGATATAGATAATTTATTTCAAGGAAACGAAAGAAGAAGAAGAAGAACTTTTGCAGTCTGTTGTTTGGGTCTTTCATGTTCACATTTTTATTGTTGTTGGTGACCTGATTGTTTAACTGAGAACTTGTGGCCAGATACACCATGCACCATTCCTTTGCTCTGCACAGCTACATATCAACGAAACAGACTACTTCGGCAACAACATGGACTCCATTCGCTACAACTTTTTCCGCACATTTGAAAAGTTGAGGCAGAAGGCAGAAGATGAGTAAGTATATGTGATTGTTGTCATAATCTTCATGTTCTAATGTTGTCAAGTAGCAGCAGGCTGAGCGATCGTAACTGCCGGCCTGTCATTCAGGATATCTGGCTTTGAAACTTTAAGTGGGCAATGGAAATGTGTTTTTTTTTATGTATAAAAAGGAAAAATGCTAACCTATTTATCCTAATGTAAAGCCATCCTAATATTTTTTGTCATGTGGAAAGCCCCAACCCTGGCAGTGGTCAGGGAGCCTTGATATAACCTAATGGTTGAACAGGGCGATCCTTATCCGAATGGTGGCACTTTGTGTCACCGGGTATTTATTGCTTTGCGTGGTGTCCTGGTGGGGTTGAACATTAATTAGTCCTAACCTGTACCAATTATGGTGGCTCCACTAGCTGTGCTTCCTTAAATCCTCAGTCTGGAGGACCTCTTCAGCACCCTCTCCCACTCCCTCTTCTCTGTCCTACACTGGCCTATAAATTGGTCACTAAAGCTGGAAAGCAGTTGTTTCCAATCTGGGGATGCAACACATTTTCAAGGGGACTTTAGTTAATTTTGAAACTCTGTGCATTTCTACTTGTAATAATCTGTTAAACCAGTTTAAAAAAAATTTTTTTTTTTTTAAATTTAATTATAAACTAAACTTTAACAAGCATAAAAACAAAGCAGAGCTTGATGTTGAGAGTGGTGTCCCTTGTGCCTTGTCCACCATCAGACCAGAAAAAGTAGATGTCATCAAGACAAAACTATTAACTATCACATTTATATTTGAACACTAAATTATGCCAGTTGTTGGTTGATTGTTTCTTGTATGTTATTTGACATTTTTATTTCTGTGGATGTTTTCTAGAAATTATTGTATATAGTGCTTGGAATTCTTCTTTTTGTCCTTTTTTTCTTTTTTTTTTAAGGACACCTATTTAAGAAAGAAAGAAAAAAGAAATTTGAAAACCAGTTTCAGTTTTTTAATGAATTAAAAAGGTATATTTTGACTGAAGATTAATCCGATGTATTACATTTTTTCTGTGAAATCTCTGCAGCTGTAATGGTGTTTTTTTGACTTAAAATTATCCTGGGGTGGGGGGGAGGGTGTGTGTGTGTGTGTGTGTGTGTGTGTGTGTGTGTGTGTGTGTGTGTGTGTGTGTGTGTGCGTGTGTGCGTGCGTGCGTGCGTGCGTGCGTGCGTGCGTGCGTGCGTGCGTGCGTGCGTGCGTGCGTGCGCGCGTGCGCGCGCGCGCGTGCGTGCGCGTGGTTTTTATTTTTTTTATTTTCAAAGAAAGCTTCAGAATTTGTCTGATGTGGAATAAATGACATTATCTTTTATAATAGTTTCTGTTTCTGTTTGAACTACAAACCAACATCATGGCACAAGGGTAGTCCATAAATGCTCCCTTTTATTTCTAACTCTAACCTGAGTCCGAAGTATCTCAGCACATGCACGAACTGCGTAGCACTGGCCAGGATACTGAAATACTTTGGGTAGATTTTTGTCTCTAAGTATTTGCTTGGGCAGCGCTGTTAGGCTACTCTTTTCGATTTCCAACTGCCAAGGGATTTTTTTACGTTCGCAACAATACACACGGGCCTCCGAGACTCAGAGACCAGAGGAAATCACTTGAAGGCCACATGAAAAAACCCAGCCTTCACCGGGGCCTGAACCCGGGACCTCCATCACCCGAGGCGGACGCCATGTCTCGAGACCACTCAGCCCCCTCTCCCCCCTGTAGTATAATGGTACAGTCTACTAGAAACTTATACAGATTTGTTTTAGATAAACAATCTGCTTTGAGAGAAAAAGCTGATTCATGAAGTATACCTTTATCTACCAAAGTATATTAAAAAAAATTATTATTTAGGCAACCTTATGCTACCTGCGTCGACTATGGACCCTTACTAATAATATTGAACAAAAAATAATGACACCAGATTTGATATGTCTTAGAAAAGCTTTCAGAATAACAAGAAAAAATAAAATTAAAGATAAAGAAATTAGAAGAAAACTACATCTGAAATTACTCATACAGCTCCCTGTATGGGTTCCAGAGCTCTGATATAGGGAAAACAAGAACAGACCCACTGCCTACCGAAAAGCATGTCGACTAATTGGGAGCTTCCTTCGAAGCTGGAGTGCATCTGCCTGAGAAGCAAGGAACCAGCAATCTGCATACAAATGAGTCAGATCTGTAAACGGATGCACACACAACCTCAGGTTCGGAACAGGAATGCAGTCCAGAAGTGAACGAACAACCAGAAATTTCCGCTGGAGTTTACAGCTGGTGAACGCGAAGAAGATGAAGAAGTCATGCAGTTTATTAAAGAGCAACAAATGAAAATTCCCCGGTACTGACATGAACACCACTTTCGACACATAGAACTATACCTTTGTCTACCAAGGCATGTTTAACATTTTTTTTCTGGGTCAACTTTATACCTCCGTGGACAATGCTGACATTCTGAATGCTCTACAAGAAGTAAAACATTTGTGAGAACCAAGTGATGGCTGTGAATCTGCAACCATGAGCAGACTGCAAGAACAACATGTTAAAAGGAATGTGGCTAGACAAGAGAGCTATGCAGGAAGCCAAAGATAATAAGAAGCCAATACAGAACTGGTGTCATGAGCCGCTACACACACTGTGGGATTTACTAAGGAGGGGATCCGAGCACTTATGGACTGAATGGTTCGATGTGCAGTGGGGATACTATCTAACTAACTAAACTAACTAACTAATTTAACTACAAACTAATTTAGCTAACTTAACTCACTCACTCAATCACTCCACTGACTGACTGACTGACTGACTGACTGACTGACTGACTGACTGACTGACTGACTGACTGACTGACTGACTGACTGACTGACTGACTGACTAAAACTAACTAACAAGCCACAGAGAGCCACACTGAAGAAACACAGTGGACAGCCAGGGGAAGACCATGTAGAATATGGAAGAATGGCATCAAGAACAGCCTTGAGTAGAGGAATGCCAACTTACTCAAAGAATTGGAAAAAACACATAGAATATCCTTGCATCTTTCTCCAACTCCTGGATGAAGTAAAGTGGAAGAAGAAAAGAAGAACAGTAATGCTTTGTGGCGCAAAATAAGGATGCATACGTTTGTGTGTGTGAATATATTTATATGTATATATGTACATATACACACATATATATATATATATATATATATATATATATATATATATATATATATATATATATATATATATATATATATATATATATATATATATATATATATATATATATATATATATATATATATATATATATATAAGTGTGTGTATATAAATCTTGTTCAACTCTTCATCTCACAGGTGGGCCATGTCTCCGCCCACAGTCAATGCCTACTACACTGCAAGTAAGAACACCATTGTTTTCCCAGCAGGCATCTTGCAAGCTCCATTCTTTGACAAAAATGTCCCACAGTGAGTATCTGCTCAGTAGAAATTACACACATATACAGACAGATACAACACACTCTCTCACTCTCTCTGTCTTTGTATTTTTCTTTCTCTCTCTTTGTCTGCGTTTTGTTGCTTTGTCTATTCTTTCTCTGTCTCTCACTTTTATCGCTCTTTGTATTTATTTATCATTATCCTTCTCTTCATTACTCTCTCTTTTTCTGTATCTCTGTTTCTTTTTCTTTGTCTGTTTTTAACTGTGTTTGTCTCCTCCTTCCCTCTATCTCTGTATCTGTTTTTCTTTCTTTATGCAATTTTCTTTCTTTGTTTGTCTGTCTATTTATCTCCCCTTCACCCCTCTGTGTCAATTTTTTTTTGTATTTTTTTTTCAGTGCCTCTCACTATGTCTCCACTCTATCTTTCTCTGTCATTCTCTTGCTGTTTTTCCTTATGTCTGTCTCTCTCTGTCTTTTTCCCTGCATGTATCTGTCTGTCTCTCTCTCTGTGTCTCTTTCTCAGAATCTGTCTCTTCCATGCACATTGAGAAAATTGGAAAGGCAAACTTCACCTTCAGTATGCTGGTAACTTGGCTTGCAAGCTTGTCTAACATCCCGACCTTTCATTCATATTTCATTACGAAACCTTCTTTTACATGTAATTTGTACACAGTAAATGAGAACAACAGCATTGAAAAATGTACATAAGAATTTCACAGTCTAGATATTTGAATAATAACACTCACAATGAAAGTGACAGTGAAAATAGAGAGAAAGCATTCATCATCATCATGTTGCAGGTCCTTTGCAAAACATCGCTCTTTTCACAGTCTGCCTTGAAAAGAAACTCGGTCTCTCGCCAGATCTACCACCTATCGCACTTTCCCACCTGAGGTGTTGATTATATCATGTGCCCATCTTCATGCTGGTTGGCCTCTGCCTCTCTTTCCTGGTACCATGCTTTCAGCTATTATTGTTCCCCAGTCCGCTGTGGTGCTTGATATGGCCAAAATGCCAAGAAGGCATTACATAAAGTTCAAAAGTAAAGAATTCGGTTCCATGCCTAAGACTGCTAAAAGTATATTTTTATGTACCAATTTACACTTGATGATATGGTCAATTAATACCTTCTGTCATTTTGTCAATTTCCCAGTAAATTTTGTGACATCCCTTGACCTGGAATCCTGTGTCAATTTTACAAATCCTCCACATCAGTGGGAAATTCAGATATTTGATGATAAGGCTAGCAGGTAAACATGCAAGCTACCGTGCAATTACTACTTCCAAAACTTTGTGTAAATTTAGAACAAGGTGTAAGTAAATAATGATGGCAAGCTCTGAACGGAGCCAGACTTTTTTTCAACAATGACCTTGGCTCCCAGGTTGACCCAGCCTCAAATGGGTACTAGGGTAAGTCCTGAAAAGTAAAGGCGGCCGGCGTGATGTTGACCACATTACCCACAGAATGCTGATTGGGCTATAAAATAAGGATTTAGCACTATATGACAAAAACGCCTAAAGGCATGGAAAAGGGTCCTTTCATTTTAATTAATGACAAGTGGGATGTATTACTCCACAGGTCTTTGAATTATGGTGCTATGGGAGTGGTTATGGGACATGAGCTGACCCATGGCTTTGATGATCAAGGTGAGTCCGTAAACTGGAGTATGTTGCAAGTGATTAAATGGGATTAATTCAAGAAAGTGTAATCCTCTTATGGGTTCTAAACCCCATTGCGGGAAAGGAAGAGGGGGTGAGGGGGGGGGGGGGCGGGGATAGTCTCATTGCTGTCCCTAACAAGAATGTTGTAAGAGTCAAATAATTAGGGAGCTTTCCCTCCAGTTGGAGCGCTTCTCCCTGAACCGTGAAGAACCAACAGTCTGCATACCAGAAAACCATATCTGTAAAATGGATGTGCGTGCAAAAATTTCGAGTTCTGGAACAAGATTGAAGTCCAGAAGAGAACGGACTGTCAGAACTTTGCGCCAGACTTTACAGCCAGTGAACGCTAAGAAGAAGAAGTAAGAGAAATATCTGGACAACCATGTGTATTAATTTTTATTTAAACAAAGTAGGTCACATTCCATTGATAACTTTGTTGGACTGGTCTACTTTCCTGGGGGCTGCGGGTATGCCGCTCTGTTTGCTTTCTGGCTTGTCTTGCATTTATGTTTTTCTTCAGAAAAAGAAAATACCAGTGACAAAGGGGGGTTGTGTGTTAGACCCAGTTTGTCCATGTTTTTGGAGTGTTAAAAGCGCTAGCGTGTTGAAATATACAGCACGCGATATCAGCGGCATTGTGGAAAATCCCAGTAACCTTGTGTGAAGGCCGCATGGCTCAAGGTCGAAGTGAGCTAGGCTGAAGGTCAAACAATCAGGAGTGAGGTAGTATGTAACACTGTAAATGGAGGGAACTAACTTTAGTTTTACCCATTATTTATAAGAGAAAGAATATGGCAATATATTGGTCATGTTCTGAGGGGGGGGGGGGGGGGGAGTCAAACAAGAATCACCCAACAGGCACTGAAATTGAAAACAAATCACTTGAGGAAACAAGGATGTCCTATAGAAACCTTAAGACAAATGCTGTTGATAGGCCTAAGGCAGCAGACTAGATTCCATTTACAATATTGACTGGATTGCATAAGTTAGATCAGAAGGAATGACTAGACTGTGGACACAACAAGGGGATGATGAGGATGCAAGGGAGAGATAAGAAGATGCAGTGACGGTGATGTGAAACACACCTTTAGCTTCAGAAGACCTGAAGCTGTTCATAATGTTGATGGCTTGGACTTTTGGACACAGTGAGAAGAAGAAAGTATATTCTGGGGGGGAATTCAAATTGTGTTCTAAGTGCTGTGGTGCCAGTTCTTAGCTCAGCACTGAACACTCATTTGCAGTGAAGAGGTTAAACAGTTTGCTTTGCACTCAAAAGATTGTGATTTGGTAGTGGACTTAGTGTCATTTGGTTTGTGAGATTCCTGATGGCGGTTACTGCAGCTACATAGTTTGTGGTTTTGGAACACTCATGATTGACTGCCAGCCTCTCTGTGGGGAGATATGTTCTGAAGATCCCTCATGAGATCCCTCACCACAGCTACATAGTTTGTGAAACACTCCTGATGGACTGCCAGCCTCTCTGCGGAGAGATAAGGTGTTCTAAAGATCTGTGAAGGTCATCACTGCAGCTACATAGTTTGTGGTCTGTGAAACACTCCTGATGGACTGCCAACCTCTCTGTGGAGAAATACAAAGCCCTCCAGGATTAAACCTTGTGCAGTGAAGTTAATACTCTTACTTTTAAATGTCTAACATGTATTAAAAGGATACCATATCACTTAATTAATTACAGTTGTTTAAAACAGTGTTCCTCAGCCCTGGCCACCAAAACAGGGGAAATTGTTTCACAGCCAACCCAAACAGGAAATTGTTTTACAGCCCACCAAGAGAAAATTGTTTTGCAGCCCACCAAAACAGGAAATTGTTTTGCAGCGCATCAGAACATGGGACAATGTTTTGCAGCCCACCAGAACAGGGGAAATTGTTTTTGCAGCCCACCAGAACAGAGGAAATTATTTTGCAGTCCACTAAAATGGGAGATTGTTTTGCAGCCCACCAGAACAGGGGAAGTTGTTTTTGCAGCCCACCAGAACAGGGGAAATTATTTTGAAGTCCACTAAAATGGGAGATTGTTTTTGCAGCCCACCAGAACAGGGGAAATTGTTTTTGCAGCCCACCAGAACAGGGGAAATTATTTTGAAGTCCACTAAAATGGGAAATTGTTTTGCAGCCCACCAGAACAGGGGAAATTGTTTTTGCAGTCCACCAAAACAGGGGAAATTGTTTCGCAGCCCACCTGACAGCTCACCAGAGGCAGAAACAAGTCTCTTAGATTATCTTTTAACTCATTAAGATTCGGAGGTTGCTTCACTGAAGTACACATACCCTCTGGGATATTCAGAAGTTTTTGTAGCAGCTATGCTATGGGACTGAAAGAGTTATTACTACTGCTATCAAGTACGCACATACTTGAACCCATAGACTTATTTCAAGATAGCCCTGATAATCATCCACTGTTTGTTTCTGCAGGTCGGGAGTATGACAAGTATGGCAATATGAAGCAGTGGTGGGATCCTGAAGCAGTCAAGAGGTTTACTAATGAAACCAAGTGTATCATTGATCAGTACAGCGAGTATCAGTTACATGGCGAACATGTGAGTGAATATGGTTCTTTGGGGGAAAAGGGGGGGGGGAGGTGATACATTTATTATATGTGATGACAGCCTGTATGACCACTACCTGTAGGTCTATTATCTATTCCAATTTTGGTTGTTTGATGTAGTTTTTTCCCCTCAGGACACCTCAAGGATGAGAATTATACTTGTACAAATCCTGGTAAGATCTGTTCAACCGTAAGGTTTTATTGTGACCCCTGATTTTTTTTTAAGTCAGAGAGGCAAGAAACCAACAGTCTGCATACACATAAGCCAGGTCTGTAAAATAGATGTGCACACAAAGTTCAAGTTCTGGAACAAGACTAAAGTTGTACCGCCTAGTTAGCACAAACCTAACCATCCTGGCAGCGAGAAATTAGAACATGAAAATGTAAACACCAAGAGGCAGAAGGAGACCTAGAAAGAGATGGATTGAAGGAGTCACTGACAGCTTAAATCCTCCTGACATTACATCAAACGAAGTAACAGAACAGGTCTTAGTTCTTCAAACTGTGGTGTCTAACCGAGTTAAGAAAATTATTGTTCAAAGAAAAGAAAATGAATGCTCCATACACAACTCCTCCTCCTCCTCATCATCATCATCTTCTTCCTGTATGCCCTGTCCAGTGGCTCACATGCTTATCTCCAGATTTCAGTCCTTGGTATTTTGAATCCATTCCACCTATGATGTTCCATTATGCCATCGCTTCAGACAGCAAGACATAGTCTCTGTTGGTCTGCATATGCCTTTTGTACCATATATCTTATACAGTGATAGATAGAAGATCTTTATGTGATCATATTAGTTTTTCCCTAAAGTTCTGGTCCAAAAATCAAGGTGTGTCTTGTACATGGGATCATATTATACTTCAGAAATACAGTAATGATTGTTTTGTTGTGTGCACAGGAGAAAGGCAAACAGACTCTAGGAGAGAATATTGCCGACAATGGAGGCTTGAAATCAGCATATAATGTAAGTGTTGCATTGTTTTTATGAAATTATTTTAAGCATAAGTGCTGCCGTTTATTTTCATTTGTAGGTGTTTTAAGAATTCTTGAAAAGAACGTCATCGTTCATTGTTAGTTAGTTATTTAGTTGCAGATTCAGTCGTCACTTGGTTCTCCTGAATATTTTACTTCTCGAAGAGCTTTCAGTATATCTGCCTGGTCTTCTTCTTCTTCTGCCTTTCTATCCCCCAATGGAGCATAGGCTCTCAACCAACTCACGCCAAGTCGTTCTATCCTTCGCCATTGCATGGAGCTCTCCCCATGTCCTCCCAATCTTTCTAACCTTGTTCTCCAGCTCTCTTCTCCATGTGTTTTTGGCCTTCCTTTATTCCTATGCCCCTGTGGGTTCCAATGCAAAGACATTCTAGTAATGCTGTTCTCCTGTTTTCTCAGTGTGTGCCCTATCCAACGCCAGCGTCTTTTCCTCACTTCCTGATCCACTGGAGCCTGTTTAGTTATCTCCCAAAGTTTTACATCTGCCTGGTCTATAACCTCACTTCTTCTGACAAGGCCAGTCAGTGTGTCATGAGCGACCAGCTATTCACGTAACCCTATTACCTAGAGTAGACTAATGCTAGTCACGTCTACTTGTGACACAGTCCCTAAATGTCGATGAATCAGCCTGTGTGCAGCGACCTGATCTTGAAAAGCCCAGTTACATTCTGTTGGCTTCTTTGTGCTTGTGCAGTGTTTAATAATTTAGGATATCAATATAATTACTAAAAAATACCATAGGGTTGGGAACTTTTAGTTGCCAGATAACAAGCTTGGTAGGGGCCAGATAACAAGCTTGGTAGGGGTCAGTGGGTCTGTTACTCTTCTCCAACCCCCCAGGTCCTTCCCCAAAATAAAATGGGGTCTTGAAATCCACACTAGGAAGAAGGCAACTAATTAGGGGTGTTTTCTTTGAAGTCAGAGTGCATCTGCCTGGGATGCAAGGAACCAGCAGTCTGCACACAACTAAGTCAGATCTGTGAAATGGATGTTCTTGAGGAACTCAAGTTCTGGAACAGGACCAAAGTCCAGAAATAGATGAATAACCAGAACTCTCAAGTGGAGTTTACAGGGGTGTATATTAAGAAGAAGTTACTTGATTAGTTGAATGTTGAATTGAGAATTGACATCACAGCACTTGGGAAACCCCCTTAAGCGCTCTGTCCCCATCTTCAGCAGCAAGGAAAGAGTTAAAATTCCGATGGTACCAGTAACTTTTTGATTGTATATCCATCTTGCCTTTCCCTTGAGTGAGTGTTGTGCGTCGGTCATATCCCCTTGTAACTCCTCTCAGTGCCATTCTCCTCAGACGGTAATGATCAGTCTTTGCCACGGCACTGTTCACTCGCTTCCAAAAGGCCCTCACAAAATCCAGCTTGTGGTGCAGAACCGGCTAGTCTATCTGCCTGCTCATTTCCCAACACACCGGCATTCCCTGGAGAAAATATCCAAAGGATGGTAACTACCCAGGACCTTTGAAGTAAATTTACTTTGAAGTAAAAGTCGATTAGTTAGTTTAGTTAATTATTTGACAGCTCATCTTCTGTACACATCAAACGACTTGGTCCATAAGTACTGAGATCCCCTCCCAGCACACCCCTCAGCATGTTGAGATTTCAGATGTCCATTTGGAGAAGGGTTAACATTGGTCTCTTCCGTCCAGGCTTACCAGAAATGGGTCAAGAAGAATGGACAAGAACAGCTGCTGCCAGCTCTGGGAATGACTCATGAGCAGTTATTCTTTCTCTCGTTTGCTCAGGTGATGGTCTTTATATTTCTCTTATACAGTAAAATCTCATTAACATGAATTTCAATGGAACAAAAATCGATTGTCTGTTTAAACAGTTTATGCTAAATGGGGAAAAACTTCCTTGTAAAATCTAGTCTATAGATATAATTGACATGTCATTTCTCTGTTGGACAATGAATTATAACATATGGACAGATAACAGGTATACAGAAATTAAAAATTTTTTTTTTACTGGAATAACTGGCTAAGTAGACTCATAACCGGTGTCAGAAGGACAACTGACATTCCTTGGGCACATCATAGCAAGGGGACCACTAGAGTTTGTCATGACATTGGGAGTGAAGTTACAGGTTTTTTTTTCTTCTGCGTTCGACACCAGTCATGCTAAACGTTGAGTCCCGTCTAGGTCACAAATAGGATTGTGCGTTTAAGGTCGCCACCGATCTCCCATAGTTTCTCTTGCAATGTGGCTCCCTTGGGCCAGATCCACAGTCTTTGCTGGGAGAGGTAAAGTTACAGTGAAAGTCAAGAAGACTGAGTTGATTGAATCCATTATTCCATATTGTCCGGTCTCTTCCCAGAAGCGTTGAGCAGCCTGTCGAGAGCCTCATGAAAAGCACAAATTCCATAGCTTCAGTGATGAAAGGGTCACTGGGGATTTTGGAAAAAAATAGAAAGTATTGAAGTTTAGCTGAAGCAGAGGAGGACCAAATCGACTCAGATTGATAATATGAAAATCAAACAAACGGAAACATGTAAGTGTTTGGGTGTAAACTTCAACTGCTTCAACATACTAAGAGAAAAAATACAATCTAGAATACAATCTCACAACACCAAGATCACAATATATAAAGCGTTAAGATCAGTCATTTTATGTGGCTCTGAAACTTGGAGCACACCTAAAAGAGAGAGTGCCTTGTTACAAAGTCTTTCAGCAAATCTTTGGACCCATCAAAGATGCAAACAGTGCGGAATGGGGAGTGAGAAGAAAAAATGCAATTCATAGTCTGTTTAAATCATCGTTTTTTACTGGAATCAATAGACTGAAATGGCTAGGGCATATTGAGAGAATGTTAGACAACAGATAGATTAAAAAAGTTTACACAAGGGAACTAATTGGTCGTGGACCAAGAGGCAGAATAAAAAGACGATGGAGAGGTAATATTCAGGCAGACCCAGAAACACTCGGTGTCACTAACTAGAAAGAGAAGGCCACCCAGAGAAATGCATGGAGGCAGGTGATATCTGCAGCAGTGGACCTGAAGGGCTCGGAATACTGAAGAAGAAGAAGAAGAAGAAGAGAAAGACAGTTTGGCAACTTGACATGGAAGAACATATGTTACAAATGAGAATGTTACAGTACACGAGAAAGAAGGCTGTGGGGGAGCATAATTACCAACACAGCATGGACTTTAAGAAGAAGAACGAACAAGCAAACTTTATTTCCAAAGGGTTATAAAATGTGTGCCTGTCTTATATTTGACCCTTCCAAACACTCATCTGTCACACACACATACGTACATATGTGCATACATACATACATACACTTATGTGCGTATATATGTACATACATACACACACATCCATCCATCCATCCATCTACATCCACTCATACAAAGATCAACCCATCTGCCCACTCACACACACACACACACACATTAATACCCCTACATATACTCTCATACATATACATACAAATACTGTCATAAATACATACCCACATATTCTTCTTTAAATTTTGAAATGAAAATTGTGAAATATTTTATATACTCAAGAAATCGAAAAAGACAAGCCATGAATGAATTTGATATATTGACTCTTGTACCAAATATCAAATTCTGGTCAGTTAATTTCTGATCCTTTACAGAACGTTGCTGAACCAACACCAGCATTTTTATATTTTTTTTAGTTTTTCTAGGCAGATTGTACATTCAGTAGTTTGCCCTTGCCTCTGCACGGTCAGTTCTTGGTGCCACTATCGAAACCAATGCAAGACAGATTGTCTGCAGCTAGGATTGAACCTGGCACCCCGGCATTATGAAGCACGGGGAGCAATGCCTAAGCCACAGACACCTGTACAGAGTTGATTTATGATCCTCTGTATCCTGTATACAATTGGTTTAGGCTCGCACATATCAGATATGAAACCATTGCATGGACATTTGGATGTGTTGTTCTCTTTAGGTTTGGTGTTGGAATAGCAAGCCAGAGACTGACCACTTGCAAGTCCTGACTGATCCACACTCTCCAGCTAAGTTCAGGTACCTTCATTTGGCTATATTAGTAGTTAGTGTAGGTAGGCATGTCTTGGTAGAACTAAGTCTGTTTCAAGACATATTTTCTAGTGAAGAGTTTGCCTGCCACTCATTTGGTCATAGGCTCAAATCTCTAGAATGACAGAGCCTGAAAATATAGAGGCAAGGAAAAGTTCTGAGAAGTAAATGCAGCCAGTGTAATATTCATCACATCAATCATTAAGTGCAATTTTTCCCTGTGTGGGTTCCAGGCTCCATTTAGTGAAAGAGGGTGGGGGGGGGGGGGGGGGAGGGGAGGGGGGGGGGCTAATAGGAGTCTCCCTCCCCAGAACAAGCATATTGTAAAAAAGTGTCTATTTGTGTTTGCTTCAAAGTATGTGCTGAGAGGTGAGAAACCAACAGTCTGCATTCAGATAAGTCAGATCTTTAAAACAGATGTGCACACATTATGGAACAAGACCAAAGTCCAGAAATAGCTGAACAACCATAATTTTCTGCCCCAGTTTACACCTTGGGAATGCAAAGAACAAGAAGAAGGATAAGAAGTGTACACTGGTCTGTTGCAAAATGGAGATATGTTATCACGATCAACTTCTTGGCAGATTGGGCATCCCATGTGTGCTAAGTCCTCTGATACAGCAGCCTCTCCAAGGTACCTCTGCTGATTGTTCCTTTCAGGAATTGGTTATAGTATCTGCTGTCTTTATCTCAGAGATGGCAAAGTCGTGCTTTAACAAGCTAAACTCCTTGGTCATGCAGTCATGTTGGCACCAAAGATTTGCCAGTATCCCCCAACCTGGCCCTTACAGTGGAGCTAGTGCCCACATGCCAGATAAACCTTTCAGCATAAAAATAAGTTATTTGAAATTTTTTTTTTTTTAAAGACATGGTAGTGTTATAAAGATAATAAGATATAACTAGGCCAGTAGTAGAAGGTGTCACAAATTTTGCAGAACAAACATGTGACAATTGACACAAAAAGAGTACTATTCGATAAGAGTATTTTTACCTACATTTTGCTACCAGTGCCAAACTTGGACATTAATAGCAAAAGAAAAACTGAAATAACAGAAATGAAATGTCTACAATGATTCCTAAATATGACTAGAAGAGACAAAATCAGAAATGACAATATCCTAAAGGAAGTTGGGATAGAACTAGTAATAAACTACCTCAAGAGACAGCAGATAAAATGGTTTGGACATGTGTCAATACTACTACCAGATAGTGCACTACCTGAAAGTATCTCTTTCTCTAGGCAGTTCTCCAGCCCTGTGTGCTTTCATAGCCAGTGCATCTTTGGTGTCTTGCATCCACCTTCATGTAAGTCGGCCTTTGCCCTATTTTCCAGAAACAACACCCTCTCACCGTTCTCCCCGGCTGTCATGAACTGTAACATGGCTAATATACTTCAGCTTTCGGGACAAGATGCTGTTTATGAGCAAGTTATCCTCAGTTTTGAGATAATTTAAGATGTCACTATTTTTCTCATTCTTGGTCCACTGTATTATGGGGCCATTGAGTTAACCATATGTGTTGATTCCTCTCCACCAAAAATACGGTTGACACATTCCGTTTCTGGGGACAGCTTTTATCGAGTTTGCTCTCTAGACAGTTGCAGTCCCCTGCTGATGTGATTCTTCCTGAGTGGCCGCCGCAATCAAAACATTGCAAAGGCAGCGTGGTCGGGGCTGCCAAAACTATCAGTCATTATCTCACTTTGACATAGCACAACTACAATACACTCTGCCTATACGAAAAACACATAGTATCTTGCATGGAAATGCGCACAAAGCAGTCCATAATTAGGAAACAGAACAATCCGAGAGAATCGACAGTCAGCTAAAATAAACACCGCTGCTATCTGCCATTTTGAAAACGGGACTCTCACTGTATTATAAGAATGTTTCTGAAGCATTTCATTTCAAAAGCTGCAGTTTTTTCCTCAAAGATTGAGAAAGAGTCCCTGACTCACACGCATAAATTGCCAGAAAAAAGATGCATAATCTCAGCTAGTTGAAATGTTCTCTCTCCTTCCTCATCCACAGAGTAATCGGCCCACTGTCCAACTCCTACGAGTTCTCAGATGTCTACAGGTGTAGCAGCAAATCTAGGATGAACCCAAAGAAAAAGTGTGAGGTTTGGTGATCACAGCCTAGTATGACCACAGGTATCACGTCAACAGCACTAGAGGGTGTGTGATTTGGGGAATAGTCTCCTGTCTTGCTGCTGATGTTTGCTATTGTACCAGATCATGATCAGCGAAATTGTCTCAATTGTATTGTGATAGTGTTTCTATGGTAATGAAAACAGGGGCGACTGTAGTCAAGTTAATACCAAGAAATTAATCCACTGAACTAAGACTAAGATTCTTAACAAAAGATGAAGGGAGGGGAAACAACGTTTTTGATGTTATTATTACTACTATTTTCACCACTCGCCATCATCATCATCATCGTGTACCATTCCGGTGTGGATAGGCTGTCATGTTTTGCCATGTCACACAGTTACGAGAATCACGGATGAGTTCAGTGTTTTTGAATCGCCTCTTGCAGCTGGCCAGGCTATAAAGGTATTTTTCTCGTTGCCTTCCTCTTGTTGTCTTGCCGTCAGTCTTTACAGTTGTTACAAAGTTCTCAAGTCCATACCTTCACATAATATGTCCAACAAATATTGATGGTCTGTGTCTGATTGTTGTAATACGTTTATGACTTTCATCTGTCTCGATGAAGACTGCTTCATTTGCAAGGAATCAACAGTCTGTATTCAAGAGAATGAGATCTGTAAAACTGATGCACACGCAACACTCAGGTTCTGGAGCAGGACTGCAGTTCAGTAGTGGACGGGCAACCAGAACCTTCCGCCAGAGTGTACAGCTGGTGAACGCGAAGAAGAAGAAGATTACTGTTCCTTCATTTATTTTATTATTATTATTAGAGAAGTGGCTGGCTGAGTGGTTACAACATCAGGCTCTCGTGTGGAAGACCTGAGTTTGACCCCAGTAAGGTGGAGTTTTTCTGTTAGGGGCAAAATTAAACATCCTAACCCGCACAGTCCTTGGCGACAGCACTAGCCAGGTGGCCCTAAATCCTCATGCTCATCCCCCTCCCCCTTATCCTTGTCTACACAGCCCTAAAAAGTAGTCAAACAGACAGTAGTGACAGTTTTATATTTCCTCTTCTCATAGTTTACAGTTCTTCACGTGATACCCCCCTCCCCCTTATCCTTGTCTACACAGCCCTAAAAAGTAGTCAAACAGACAGTAGTGACAGTTTTATATTTCCTCTTCTCATAGTTTACAGTTCTTCACGTGATTACCCCCCCTCCCCCTTATCCTTGTCTACACAGCCCTAAAAAGTAGTCAAACAGACAGTAGTGACAGTTTTATATTTCCTCTTCTCATAGTTTACAGTTCTTCACGTGATTACCCCCCCTCCCCCTTATCCTTGTCTACACAGCCCTAAAAAGTAGTCAAACAGACAGTAGTGACAGTTTTATATTTCCTCTTCTCATAGTTTACAGTTCTTCACGTGATTACCCCCCCTCCCCCTTATCCTTGTCTACACAGCCCTAAAAAGTAGTCAAACAGACAGTAGTGACAGTTTTATATTTCCTCTTCTCATAGTTTACAGTTCTTCACGTGATTACCCCCCCCTCCCCCTTATCCTTGTCTACACAGCCCTAAAAAGTAGTCAAACAGACAGTAGTCACAGTTTTATATTTCCTCTTCTCATAGTTTACAGTTCTTCACGTGATACCCCCCTCCCCCTTATCCTTGTCTACACAGCCCTAAAAAGTAGTCAAACAGACAGTAGTGACAGTTTTATATTTCCTCTTCTCATAGTTTACAGTTCTTCACGTGATTACCCCCCCTCCCCCTTATCCTTGTCTACACAGCCCTAAAAAGTAGTCAAACAGACAGTAGTGACAGTTTTATATTTCCTCTTCTCATAGTTTACAGTTCTTCACGTGATTACCCCCCTCCCCCTCCCCCTCCTTTCCCCCTGGTTTAGGGGCTGATGGCCGGGATACTCTGCCTCTTGTGTCTCTTGTGATTTGTGTTGAAAAAAGGCTGTGTCCGAAACGTTTAATTTTTTCTTGTGTGTGTTTGTATGTTGTTTATCTTCCCTCCTTCATTTAGCTTCTTCGCCATAGTTAAGAGGATTAATTTGATGATTTTTTCTATAGTTAAAAACAACAGTAGTCCTTTATTTCATAGTGAGAATTGACAATATACGGTTCAGTTGTGGGATATTACCAGATGACCTTTTCTTGTGAGAAATGACAGTATCATATAATGTAATTAGAAATAACAGTAGAACTGATCTTTATTCTGTAGGGCAGAATGACATAATTTTCTTTGGTGAAAAATGACTATTGTATTGAGAACTGAATTCACTGTTGTGTAGTGAGGTATGACATTGTAATATTCTTTAGTGATAATTGATACCATTGTTTAGTAATATTCTATAAGGAAAACTGGCACTGCAGTGTTGTATAGTGAGATGTGATTATAAAGGTTAAAAGGTTAAGGTAAAGAGGATTGACTACATTCCTCCAGATTTGATCCTATTTAGCTCGGTCTCTCTCTCTCTCTCTCTGCAGAACAGTTAGCTGTCTGTTGAAAGCGACACACAGAGCACGAACTCTGCAGCTCCGCGACAGTTCCCAGGGATCTCTGTAAAGACTGCACTCATGAACTGAAGGGTGCAGCAGTGAATTGAACCCACGACCTTCAAAGTGAGGCAAATGACTTGACCATGAATGGTCATTATCATATTCTGTAGTGATAATTCACATTGTTCAATAATTTTCTATAATGAAAACTGACACTGTAGTGTTGTATGGTGAGAAATAACATTTCAGTTTTCTGTAGTGGGAAATAACGTTCAGGAATATTCTTTAGTAAAGTAAAAAATTACTTCTTTTCTACGTCTTCAGGCGTATTGGGTATATAGGGCTAGACCTATATTTTATAGACCCAAAGGTACTTGGTGGGCGATGTGGTCAGCATCACGCCAGCCACCTTTACTTCCCAGGACTGGACCTGGTACCCATTTAAGGCTGGGTCAACCTGGGAGCCAAGGTCATTTTTGAAAAGTCTGACCCCTGTCAGGACTCGAACCCATGACCTTCATCTAGCCGCTAGACCACGGCGGATCCCAGTATTCTTTAGTGACAGATAAAATTGCAGAGTTGTATAGGGAGAACTGACATTACTCTGTTGTCTAGTCAAAAAAGACAGAAAACATGTTGTAGTGAGCAATAACAACAAAATATTTTTCAGTAAGAATTGACATTGCAAGATAATGTAGTGAGAAATTACATTAGGATATTGTGCAGCGTACAGTAATATAGTCTGGACGGAGAAATGGCGCTGCAACATTCGGCAGGAAGAAATAACATTACAGTATTGCGTAGCGTTAAATTATGGTAAAATATTCTGTAGGGAGGAATGACACTGTAACTCTCTGGGTAAAGTGGTCAAGCCGTTCGCCTCGCTCTCTGAACTCTGAAGGTTGTGGGTTCGTTCTGCGGCGGTACCTTTAGTTCACAACTGCAATTTTTACAGAGATCCCTGGGGATTGTCGCCAGAGGTACAGAAGTCATGCTGTGTTTGACACTTTCGGCAGGCCGCTGGCTGTTCTGTGGAGAGACTGAGCCATACAGGATAAAACCCGATGCAATGAACTCGATCCTGTCTCACACACACACACACACACACACACACACACACAAAACATAGACTGCAACATTATGTAGTAAGAAAGGACAGAGACTTAGTGGCACATTATGATGTTCACAGTGACTTTTAGTTCGGATAATTTATTTTAGTTTAATTCAGAGAACATGTATAAGAGCAGGGCGTTATCAGTGTCTACCTAGCAGATTGATTTATTTCATCTTGTTTATGGAACATTTTAGACAGACTTATTTATTTCATCTTGTTTATGGAACATTTTAGACAGAATTATTTATTTCATCTTGTTTATGGAACATTTTAGACAGAATTATTTATTTCATCTTGTTTATGAAACATTTTAGACAGACTTATTTATTTCATCTTGTTTATGGAACATTTTAGACAGACTTATTTATTTCATCTTGTTTATGGAACATTTTAGACAGACTTATTTATTTCATCTTGTTTATGGAACATTTTAGACACGCAGCAGCAATCACTCCCAGAATTAAAAACACAAACCAGATACTTGTTTACTAAACTAAATTTTATTATCCTTTCTGTTGCTGTACATATTTTTATATCCTTTTATATCATCGCTTACATAGTTGATATTTTGTGAAACACTCCTGATGGACTGCTAGCCTCTGTGGCAAGAGATAAGTTGTTTTGAAGGTTTAACCCACCAACAAATCTGATATACTTTGTCATTTGTTTAAGCTTATTTAATGACTTGATGTTTTTTTGTGTACTTATTAAATTGTTTCATGTTTCTTATGTCTAGTCTATCTTGATAATTTACACAGTGTACTTATGTAAACATTGCAGATTGTGAAGCATTTAATTCATGTTAATCTTGCTGAAATGTTTTGTTTATTATTAAAAGTACTGTGGTGCAAACATGAAGAGTGAAAGAAACAGAGGATATCTTAAACTGAGTTAGAGAGAGTAGTGAGAATAGAAGAGTTGCATGTCCATTTTCGTGTGTGCTGATGTAGGCTTTCTAGCCAAAACGTTCATTTTGTCTTTCATTATTTTTTCATCGGAAAACCAACTGGTTCTGCTTCTCATTTGAGTTGATTTTTTTTTTCATGTTGAGAGTAGGATCAGATGATTTCATTGTTGGTATTTGAAGAAACTAAACTGATAATAGTGATCATTTGTAGAGTAAAGGGCCACCTATAAAATGACTCAGTAATTCCCTGTGTTGTTTCTGGGAGCACCCCCCTTTTTTTTTGGGGGGGGGGGGACCCACTGCTCCTTAATTCTTTCAGTCCCACATCATCTTCCTTGTTCACCAACTGTAAGCTGCAGCGGAAAGTCCTGGTTGTTCGTCCATTTGTACTTTAACTTTGTGCCAGGGCCTGAGTTTTGCGTGTACATCAGTTTTACTAGTTTATTTGTGTGCAGTTGGTCCCACTGTTTGCAACTTTGATGGGTCCTAAAATGTGTCTTACGACTTTGA